ATATTCTACCTGCCTTCCTGATATAAATTACTATACATTTGATATGGTAATTAATTCTGAGACACTAATTTGGGCAAAGAGCACTAATGACTTGTTTAAGACTTGAAGCTAAAAGTTGAGGACTTGCAACTCGCTTGGGACTTGTCTGTCTTGACTCGGGACTTGACTTGGGACTTGTCTGTCTTGACTCGGGACTTGACTCGAGAATTGAATGCAAAGACTCGAGACTTACTTGTGACTTGCAAAACAACGACTTGGTCACACCTCTGATATTTAGCCTCCTCTAGTTTGGACGAGTCATATGATCTCTAGGCTGGGAAAAGAGTTGCTGGTGTTAGCAGGTTAGCAGAGGCAATCAGTATCAGGTTTACCTGAGAAACACGCCGATTCACAGTCTTTGACTCATTTACAGTTTTGTTTTTTTTCAACTGCTTGCACACATTTTCAAAACTTTGCCTCTTCTTTTCAAAACGTTACACAAAAATCCAAGAATTGCACACACAAAATGCAAAATGGCTCACATCTCTTGCAAAATGAAGCACTGCATTCAAAATATCACAAACACATCTTAAAAGCAAACATTTGTAAACACCTTTGCCAAAATATTAATTCCTGTTAGATTTTTGTGTGTTACATAGAGAATTGTGTGTTGTATTTTGCAAAAAGTGTTTTATGAAATTGAAAACTGAGTCAAAGGCCGAGAATTAGTGTCTGGTTTTGCAGATTTGGTGTGTGCTTCTGGTGTTTGAGTGTCAGCTTTCAGAAATTGTGTGACAAGTAAAGATTTTGTGTAAGCAGTTGAAAAAAACTGTAAGCAAACTGTCAGCTCTAAACAATAACGAATGTGACACAAATTTTGTCAGTTTTATCAAGGAATGTCAAGAACCTTAAACCTAATTCACCACCCAGTCATGATGAGATCAGATCTGAGTCTAGACCAGATTAGACCTGAGTCACAAATTCAGACCAAGAAGCGGGATCTCCACTTTAATGAACTGAAATAGAGAACAATGTAGCTTTAATTTCCCTTTCGGAGTCATGTGATTTCTCTCTAATGTTCAACCTGTGGTTGAAGCTGTTATCACTTTTATCTAGTGGATGTGTGTGAGCGTCATTCAGTCAGAGAACCAGACAAACAAACATCTGACGCTCAGACTGAAGAGTCACAGTTTGTGGTTGTGGGTTATTTTTCTCTTTGCAATCTCAAAAGATATTGTTTGTGTGTGTGCGTGTGTGTGTGTGTGTGTGTGTGTGTGTGTTTTAACATCAGACTGCCTCTCTGTTTTTCTCTTTGTCAAGAAAAACCCTTTCAGTTGCGAAACCTCAGTTGCACACAAACCCCAAACCTCATCTTCAGTTCCCAGCATGCACCAGGCTGCATCTCATGTTCATGGTTTCCCGCTCATCAAGAGGAAGGTGAGACACAAACTGTCTTTGTTGTGCTGCTGGAGTGAACGATACTTCATATTAATGATAAGAGAGCTTCACTTACAGTACAAGACAATCTTAGAGAGAGAAATACTTAAATTCCATTATTATTTTCATTCATCATTTCTTTTAGGTTTCAGTAATCATGCACCTGTTTCTCTGTGTAATCATATTTAAAAACATTCATAAAAATGTTGTGCTTTCAATGTTAGATATGAAAAGAGCTTTGTGATGAACTGTTTGTGGCAACTGCTGCAGTTTAATTCAGTTTGAAATGTGTCTAAACCTTAAATGATTTTGATATTAACACATTAATAAAGCACAGGATCACAAACACAACATTTCCTTCTGCTCCTGAGGTTTGGGATTGAATCTGCTTCTGTATTTCAGCATCAGATGTTTGAGTCTCTGTTCTTGGATGACTGATTGATTGTGTGTTCAGGTGATCACAGACACACGCGTGTCGGAGAAGCAGGTGTGTGAGGAGCAGAAGAAGCTGGAGGAGCATCTGCTGGAGCTGGAGAGGAGAGGAGTGCAGCTGGAGACTGAGATGAGGAGACGCACCAATGGTGAGAAACACAACAACAGATACGTTAATGCTCAGTGTTGTGGGTATCGCATTACAAGTAACACAAGTTACGTAATCAGATTACTTTTTTCAAGTAACTAGTAAAGTAACGCATTACTTTTTTAATTTAGAAGGAAATATCTGAGTTACTTTTTCAAACAAGTAATGCCAGTATTAACTGACAGCTCTCGTGTTGCCATGTTAAGAAGAATCAGGAGTAAGTGCATAGATGCTTTGTGCGCTGTGTGAACATGATGCTTACTGTAGTTCTAGACTAAATGTGAACATGCATTTATTCATCTCACTGAACAAAAACAGTATTCCTCAAAATGAATAAAAACAGTCAAATGAATTTATAAACAGACGTGAATTTACATTTCCTTCAGCCTGAGGTGTATTCATTTCACTTTTGGTGTGAAAGGGCTTTTACATTTGCAAAAGAAAAAAAAAGTTTTTTTTATATTAAAAACAAACAAGCAAGCCCTGCCCAAATTTAAAAAGTAACTCAAAACTAACGTAACGCATTAATTTCCATAAAAAGTAATTAAGTAACGTAATTAGTTACTTTTTTAGGGAGTAACGCAATATTGTAATGCATTACTTTTAAAAGTAACTTTACACTGTTAATGTTAATGCTAACAGACCAACATACATAGCTACTATAGAGGAGAGGAGTGTAGCTGGAGAGAGAGATGAGGAGATGCACGGATGGTGAGAAACACCTGAACCTCCTCACACAACAACATGCACGCTAATCCTAACAAACTCCCTAACCTCCTCACACAACAACAAGCTAATGCTAATGCAAAGAAATGAAAGAGACTGGCTAGCAGGTGTGCTAAAAGAGACATGCTAACAGATGTGGCAAACAGACAAGCTACAGACACAATCAACCCCCACATGAAAATATACTATAGTAATTTATAGTAAATAGGCTACTATATTGTTTTTGAACCATACTATAGTAAAGTACTTGAATTAATTTGTTGTGGTAATTCTATAGTTGCTGCGGTAATATAACAGCTATAGTAATATAAACAAATTACTTTACCTAATACTGTACTAAGTTTTCTACAACTAAAGGGTTTTATACTACAATACAGTTTACTGTAGTAAAAACTAAAGTATACTACAGTATTTATTACAGTTTATCAGTTCACTATAGTTAATACTACAGTATGCTGTAGCATTCATTAACAAAGTGCTGTAAATACTACAATACAGTATATGCAGCATAATACACTTTCCTGTAGTATGGTTCAAATTCAAAAACACTATAGTATTTAGTCTACTGTAAATTACTATAGTAGCTGCTAACAGACGCAGTAAACAGACAAGCTAACTGTGTGTGTGTGTGTGTTTGTTTATGTGTATGTTTCAGAGAGTCTTCTAGTCGACTGGTTCCTTCTGATTCATGAGAAGAACATGTTAGTGCGCAGAGACACAGAGCTGGTGAATATGTAAGTACAGACATTTAACACACATCACACAGATACACCACATGTTAAGCAGAATAACGTGTGTGTAACATGTAACATGTAACATGTGTGCATGCGTTTTTGTGACATATGAGGACACAGATTTGTATAATGACATGGGTATGACATAGGTATTACAAGGAGAAGGTGACTTATGAGGACATTACCCCATGTCCCCATTTTTCAAAACGCTTATAAATCATACAGAGTGAGTTTTTTTGAGAAAGTAAAAATGCACAACGTTTCCTGTAAGGGGTAGGGTTAAGTGTAGGGTTGGTGTAGGCAGGGCAATAGCACATACAGTTTGTACAGTATAAAAACCATACGCCTATGGAATGTCCCCACAATTCACAAAAACAAACCTGTGTGTGTGTGTGTGTGTGTGTGTGTGTGTGTGTGTTTTCAGGGTGAAGCAGCAGCATCTGGAGGATCAACAGGCTGATGTGGAGTTTGAGATCAGACGCCTCTTTAACAAACCAGGTGACCAGAAGAGCAAAAAATCATGTTTATACATGTGAATATGTTTGTGTTGATGCGATTTAATACTGATTAGTGTGAATTTTTCTCAGAAGAACATCAGAGTTTGCGGTGTATATGAACTGATCTGATTACTGTATGTCGTAGTTGATTGTGAATATGTGTGTGATTCTCAGAGCAGGACTTTAGCTCTGATGACAAACATCAGGAAGATCAGCTGATGTCACGCCTGCTGTCAATCATCCAGCAGAGGAATGACATCATCAGCAGCCTGGACCAGGACAGGCAGAGGTCAGAGGCCACATGATCAGCAGTGTGAGGTCACATGACAATCATGTGTTATTACTGATGGATGTGTTTGTGTTCTTCATCAGGGAGGAGGAGGAGGACTCGATGCTGACTGCTGTGATCCAGAGGATGGGTGAGAAACGGCCCTCTTTCTCTTTCTCTCTCACTGTCCTGTAGTTTTACTGCTTTAACACTCTCCATCTCTCTCTAGAGTTCCTGACGCAGACGGACAAACAGCTGGACAAATGCAGCAGGAGCTTCAAACGCCTTCAGATGTTCAAGAAATCCAGCCGTAAGACTGAAAACAACAGCAGAAGAAAGAAGAAAAACAGCTGAAGAACAGAAAGAGCCTGTTTATTAAATAGTGTCCAAAAACGGAAAATAAAAACACCCATCAGGACAAATTGAACTGTTTATTTAAAAGTTAATAAGCGTGTAGCATGGCCACCTCTTATCATTTCTATCTACCATTTTCTTCATTTTTATACTTATTTATTTGTGACATCGTTTATGTGTTTTTGTTTTTAAGCTAAGATGTCTTAAGCATTAGTTATTGCACGCTTCCCATCCAAACCACAATCTCATAATTGCAAGCCCTCCAGCTAAGCAACATCTCTTCCTGTTGTCTCTACTAGTGGGAAAAAATAAGCTTTTCACAGCTTTAAATCAACTGAACAAATTGCTTAGTATTTGATTCACTATTTCGAAGCGCAGGTGACGCCTGCTGGTCAAATTTTGTAAATGCAACTAAAACTCACCCGCAGGCTCAGTCTATGAATTTGCAAATCATTAAATGGCATTAAATATGACGTTTCTGTAAAATTTTCCTCGTTTTGTGTTTTGTTTTGTTCCTTGACAGGGCTTGACAGTACATCTCACTCATTTTTGTTTTATACACGCATTCATATTAAAATTAATCAATTTAAAATGAACCTACATTTATAAATCTGAACCAAGACATGTTAAAACATTAGACACTCATGGGTTCTCCAACTCAATGTCATATTTCTCGAATTTTAAAATATTTTCAGACCATAATGCAATGAAGCCTCATTTCCAAAAGTCACGTGACTTGCCGAGTTTCATTGCAAGCTCTTGAACCACTGATTTGAAACAAAAGATTTGTAAATGTTTAGTGAATAACAATATAAAACAGACATTTACATCATTTAATTGGTTTCATGCTTTGAGGGAAGTTGTGGTTCTTTGCGGCTTGTTTTTCTAAATTCTGCTGTGTAGGGGAGACTGGGTATGGTTGTAACATGGGGAAAGTTGTAACAACACCATTTCCACCTATCAGGGATAAGCTAGGAGTCCTATGATGATTTAATTATTTACCCATTTCCTCCCCGATCTTATATGAATGGTTGTCAAGGCTGTAAATAGATATATGCAGATTTTTTAACCCCTTAATTGTCACCGTCCCACCTGTGGGACGCTTGGCGCTCTTTTTTTGTTGTTGTCCTTTTTCTCTATCAAATCTTTTAGTAATCATCATAAATCATATATCATTTGAAAGCTTAGAAAACCTCAATTTTTTTCATATCAACTTCAAATTTGGAACATAACTTATTTAGACATAAGGCTTTAATTTTATACCAATTTTAGAGTAAAACATGTTATGTAAAATATTTATTATATATAAAATTAAATAAAATTAATATAGTGCATTTTCTTTAAAGTAAATTTAAACTACCATAACTTTTTGATACTTTAATTTTAACATTCCACTTTTGCGATAATCTGCTGATTTTCTTCTTTAAAAAGAGACCAACCTTATGTCTGTATTATAAAGTGTCTATAAATTACAACAATTTAAGTTTGGATAGTGCACCTGCATGCCTATTTTAAAAAATGGGGGGTGACAGTTAAGGAAATAAAGAAAAAAATGATTTTGGTGTAAGAATCCGATTTTTTTTTACCAAAACTATATTTTGCTTAATACTTAAACCGTTGCAGATTAAATCATATAACTTACATAAGAATAAATTATAGATTCTCAGGCAAAATGTGATGAATTTTTAAACTGCTAATTTCAAACCATTATGCTAATACAGCTAACTAAACATTGGATGACAGGGGTGGGGTAAGTTGTAACACATTTTAGCATTCCCTTACATAGAACTGAGAACTTTCATGTTGTCTGTATGGAGCTTTTTTGGCAGCTCAAAGCCAAAGGAAGTGTGGGTAATATGTGCCCTATGCAGTTTCTGCATCCACCAAGGCTGCACTCTAGGGTTAAAAACATTGGGTTGACATGAATCTGGTTGAGAAAAATCATACATAGACACAATGTCACACACGAATTAACACAGTTTTTTGTTAGATCTACATATTCTTTACCTCGGTAAACTGGAGTTGAGTGTTCAGTAAGCATAAATACTGTTATGGAAGTTTGTTCTATAGTAATGTAATTTACACACTCACACACACTCCTGCTTTGAAGAGAAAGTGGATTTGATCTGTGGTCATTCGTAGAAAGTGCACCATTGTTTTGTATTGTTGTTTTAGATTGTTTCAATAAACCTGTTTTTGAAGCAAACTTCATGGGGTGGCAGCTGTTTTTGCTTCTTTTGTCTGACTGTTACAACTCTCCCCAGTATGTGTTACAACACCCCTGCAGTGGGGTAGATTGTAACAAAGGCACTCCATGTATTTAACATCAATTTATAAGGGCTGTGATATTCTTGCAGAGGTTTGAATTGGTGACTTTTGTAGTGAACAAATGTGGGTGCTTTGTATAAAAGTTTGAACACTCTAGCTCAAAAATTCAGCGAGTTACAGATGCTGAAACAAAAAGTGTTACAACCATACCTGGTCTCCTCTGTTTGGCATCCATATCACAAAAAAAAAATGTATGGCTGCTTTCAAGCTGCTCCAGACAGTCAGGTATCTGAGTTTTACACAGCCTGTGCAGACATGTCAGTGTTTGTTTTCAATGTAGTCTTTATTTACCTCATCCTATTCAATTTTCATTTAATCAGTCAGTGTGCACGTCTCCTGCTGACAAAATCTGTAACTCACATCTGAGTTTCTGCATAACAATATAGCGCACGTACACCACATTGAAGTCTATTTAACATCTGCATTTATATCTGCAAGATGTAGCCTTTAAGATGATTTAAAAAGTAGGCTATGTAAAACTGACATCTTACAGATGTCTGTCGGATGTTTACAGATGCTTTCCAAATCAAGTGATCTTTAAGACGTCTTGCAGATTATTAAAATTAATTATATTAATTTAGCCTAATTAAACTATTATAATCTTAGAGGGTACTTCAAGTAAATATATTAGGCGAAAGAGTTTCAATAATGAAAAAGTTTTGCAATCCCTGCAATACATGAATAAGAAACAATGTGAATTTGTGCATTTTAATGTGTTTGAAAGGCAAAAAGCCTTCCAACGACATAGTAATACATGGTTAAGTAACCCACAGAGTGATAATTCAAATAAACATTAACGTGTTCATTAGTAGTTGATGCAATGTTGAAATGTTGAGTAAAAACTTCTTAAACCTGTAATGATTTTTGTGAATCCAGTGGTCAAATGCTGTGTGGCCACCTGACCAATGACTGGTCTTTGTGTGATTGTCCACAAAACTGGAAGACTTGCTGAGCTTATATAAACGGTAGGCATTTTAGAATGGAAATTGTACAAAATGAAAAAGAATTAGGGAGAATCAATAAATTCAGAATAATTTATTGCTATTGAGTGACTGAAAAAAAAGTAACTGCAGTCTTATTACAAGTATTTTAAAATGTAATGTAATCTAATTATATCCAGATTAAATGTAATTAGGTACTACCCAGCTCTCTCTCTCTCTCTCTCTCTCTCTCTCTCTATATATATATATATATATATATATGTATCTATATATATGCTTTTATTTACCTTTCAATCTCATGAACAAACTCATGTGAACCATCGCCTGAGGCAGTGGCACTATCTGTCAGGCAAAGGTAGACTTTTAAAAAACGGAAGAGGGACGCGTCCACTCAGTTATAATGGTGGCTATGACCCTGCTGGACTGGTAAATAATCAAGAGCCTGTGGAAATACTGTATGAAGATTTCAGATGTTTGTGTGTTATAACCAGGACATCTAAATACAATGATGTGTGACCACAAAAAGTCACACTCAGGATGTTTGGGGATGTTTGCCCAGAACCCACATAGTAAAGAATGGCAAAAACAATAAAACCAATACTTTTAACTTGTCACATAAAATCACTAAATCAGCCACAATGCTGAACACACATCCCCGATGTACACGCTAAACAAACAGCACATCATAGTTTAAGTTCTTCAGGCCTCGTATAAAAGATACTGATGTTTATGTGATATGGGCATGAATTGATGTCTTATGCCTTACGCTGTGGGTGAAACATTACACTAAATGTAGGTGGAAATTTCTATAAATAAGAATGTTTCATGTGAATATTTAAATAACAATGTTTAGGAAACCCTGTGCTTCATTATTATAATGCAGGGGTGCCCAACCCTGGTCCTGGATATCTACCTTCCTGCAGAGTTCAGTTCCAGCCCTGATCAAACACACCTGTCTGTAATTATCAAGTGCTCCTTCAGATCCTAATTAGCTGGTTCAGTTGTGTTTGATCAGGGTTTGAGCTGAACTCTGCAGGAAGGTAGCTCTCCAGGAACAGGGTTGGGCAGCCCTGTTATAATGGCATCACAAGCAGTTTTCTAAAATAAACATGTTTGTAGTTGCTGGATAATTAAGCTCATAATTATGCTTATGATTTTCTCTTCTGCAGGTCTTAAAGCTAAAAAAAAATATGATGATCTACTATATGAAAAGACTGATTCAGACTGTCTAAATTCACAGACAAATATAAAAGTTCATCATGCTGTATTTAGAACTGAAGTGAGTCTTTACAGTCTGTCATTTATTTGTTTTGTCGTCGTCTGTTAGTGTGTCTGATAATAATCTACTGTGTAATCAAATAATCTGACAGGCAGAGACATCACATCTGCAGATCATCACAGAGGATCTCAATTCATTCCTCAGCTCCTCCATCAGCCTTCAAAGAATGTAGGTCTTCACCAGCTGGTAAACTTTATCATGGAGAAAAAATGTAAATACGATGAGATGGAGGCTCAGAATATCTTCCTGTTGAAACACAAGGACAATAATATTGTCCGTCTGGAGAAGAGTTGGGAAAAGTTCATCAGGATCAGCTGTAGAAAAAAAAAAAAAAATTAAATCGCTTTCT